GGGGGGGGGGGGGGGGGTTATGGAGGGGTCGTTTGCTGCGAGGGGGACGCGCGATGGGGTGTCCGCAGGTGAAAGCGGGCCGTCTTGGTTTTGGTCCTTCCGGAGTGCATTCGCACGCGTCGACTGAACGTGGAAGGGCCTTATCGCGGCTTCGGGAGGTTGATAATGACAGGCCTGGACAGGCATGGCGGTAGCTCGTGTCGCCGTCGTCGTTTCGTTTTCCCAACAAGAGGACCCGACGTCGTGGACGGTCCTTCTGCTACTGTCATTTCACTGCAGCGCGTCCGGAGCCGCATACATGTCGTCCGCACGAGGGTGATTCCACAATGCTTCTCGCCGTGCCAGGTGCGCACTTCCCGCCGCGCATATGCAGTGCCACAACGCTTGTCGCCGGGCGCGCTACAAGGTTCCCGCCGCGCATCTGCAGTGCCACAACGCTTCTCGTCGGGCAAGCTGCACACTTCCCGCCGTGCATCTGTAGTGCCACAACGCTTATCACCGTCATCGCTTCCGCTCTTCTGGCAGTCAGGCTTCTCGCCGCGGAGCACTCCCGCCATCGCGAAGGATAGGTGTCATCGGGGACATCATCCTTCCATGGTGCGCTTGGGCGTCATTGTCATCCTGCAGTGGAGGACACATCTTCAGTGTCGTCGGGATAGCCTGTCTGGATAGGCTGGCGAGAGACGGGTGACATCTTTTTCGACGAAACAGCATACGTCAACCGAGCGCTACACCGAGATCGCTTGTGGGGGTCCCCAACAAGCATGTCTGCGCGATTGAACGCCCGTGGCAAGAAACGCGACGTCGCGCTTGACGAAACCCAAGCCCAGGGGAAAGGTCGTCGACACGTCTCGAAGGCGAAGAGGCTGCGTTTGGATGATGCGTCAGCAAGCCTGCCGCGTCGTGGTGCGCGAGGTTGGTCGCAGCCGGCGGAAGAGGACAACGACGATGATTTCATGACGGAGGACGATCAAGGCAAGGCGACGGCGTCTGCAGGACGGGAGAGTGCCAGGCAGCGTACTCCGAATCAGAGCGCTTCGAAGAGGATGTCAACCACTCCGCCGGAGGCGCAGCAGCTGCGTGTCCGCGAAACGTGGAAAGAGAGGGTGTTGTGGTGGACCTTAGCGGCGAAGACGACGAGCCTTTGGAGACACGTCACCTGCGCATTGCGACACAAGCGACCACAACGGCGGTGTCGACGGCTCGCGCTGCGGACGACGAAAGGCAGATCACAGGTGCAGTGCCCTGCAAGCCGTCTCAGCTGCGTCAGCGCAACGACGGTGGTGACGGTGCGTCTCGCCAACGAGGTGGTGGGGGGGGAGTCGTGGCAGACGCGCGTGCAGCAGAAGGGGAGGCGACAGGTGGCGCGGGTGTGGCTGTTGCAGGTGTTGTCCCTCCCGTTCCGGCGGCGAGAGAGGAGGGTCGTGGACAGAACAAGAACCAACGCGATGGCGGCGAGGCCGGTTCAAGCCGGGCACGCAGGGGAGTAATGACGAATGAACTTATCGACCGTGCGCTTCTTTGGATGGATGACAAATCTTTCTGGACAGCGGGTGAAGGACGCAGACTCTACAACATCGTCCACGAAACCAAAGAGTACTTTGTCGCCATCGCCAGCGGGCTTCCGCCACCTCAACTTCCGCGGAGCGTTGTCGTCCCCAAATCCACCACGAGGGTGGCGAGGATCGCAGACCAATCACAGCTCCAGCAGGCGATCTCCCGTGCAGTGGCGGTGGAGAATATAGCTCTGCGCATCTTGCACGGCTGGGTTTTCAAGTCCAGGAACCGCCCAAGGGGGTACAACCTTGCGTTCCAGTACTTGTTGGAGTCCGTAGCGACGGACATTGCGCGTGCAATGTGGTACGGCGAGGAGTGGCGCAACGTCGTCAGCGCGCCGATCTGCGCCCACACGATAAATCTCAACATGGACCTTCCACTGTGGTACGCCGGCGCGAATATCGAGGACAGACCTGAGGACGACGACATGGCTGCGTACCAGGGGTCCACCGTCATCAGCATCGCGCATTCGTTCCATGCGGCGGTGCAAATGGGCGCTCACATCGACGATGATTTCATCTCCTACGAGCGTCCGTGTCGGGTGGCTGACTGCTTCAGGCTGTTGCTGGCGGCGTCCAGGTGGATTATGCGCATGGCGGGAGACGATCCGCGCAGTCACTATGAAGCGTTTTACTTCTCGGATCTCATCGCCAGGCCGACACTAATCGGCTCCATGCATCGGTCCTTAGATCATCGACGATCCGTCGTCCGCACCGCGAACGTCGTCACGGAGAGGCTTGGGAAGGCGAAAGTCACGCTCGGAGTGTACCCCGACTACATCCCTGATTGGGCACCATGCAGCATCGGATTTGCGCACGACGCGACCATCAAGGGGCCGGAGGATGTGAAGAGGCTGGATTGGTTGGTTCGGGCCCCGCCGATGATGACATCAAAGGCGAAGGAAAAGACGACGCATAAGGCAGGCTGGTATGCGGGGGGAGAGCGGGGAGACAACGCTTCTAAGAACGAAGGCGCATGTACGCGTGGCGAGACGTGACGGGCTGTCGTGTGATTGGAGTGTCGTGCGTGGCGCAGCTGATTAGCATGTGGGTCACCGGGATTCGCTAGAGTCCTCCGCCGTCATTGTGCACAGGTTTACTGTGTTGCCCGTGGCATAAGCACGTGGTTGATTCAGTTCGATAGTGTCATTGTAGTTTCGGTGGTTATCGTGTTGGCCGGAGGGATTCGGCTGAATCTTCGACGGTGGCGTAGGTGTTCAGTGTGCGGCCAGAAGCGCCAGCACGGGATGAATGGTTTGC